CTCACCCCGCCTCGCTCTTCGCGGCGCCCACCGTTCAGCTGCGCGGACAGGCCCCGCCTCCCCCGCCCCCGCTCGCGCGGCGGTCGCCGTACGCCCGCTGATTGGCCAGTTTAGGGGCCTCGAGCCAGCGACCGAGGTCTGAAAGCCGCGGATTGGGTGTCAGTGATTCGCTCCTCCCCTCTGATTGATCGCTGTTCGCCGCTCACCCTGTTCTTCGGCTTTGGCTCCCAATTGGCCCTTGTTGAGGTTTTGTTCATCTCCAATTGGTGCAGCTCTGTGGTTCCAAGTCCTGATTGGCTATCGTGAACAGTCGGCTGGCTGCCAGTCACAAAGAGCCCGGCTTGCTGGTGCTGCCACCTTCGTAACCGCGGAATGTGCCTCGAGGGGCTAAGAAGTGTGATTTCCAGGGCATGATTTATCGAATAGCGTATCATGGATAATAAATCGTGAGCAGTACTAACTACTCTCTATTAGATAAGTGCATTTAAAAAGAGACATGATGCCCTTTCATTTGTGTGCATTGGGTATAGTAAAGGTGATGGGCAGTATGGCCTCTTATCCAGAGCTCTGGACCTAAATTCTGGAGACTTCTTCCAGCCCCCCAACTAGACCACCACCTGCTTGACCTTGGGCAAGGTATTTAACCTTTCAGAATCTCAGTTCCCAGAACTGAAAATGGGCGTGGGAGTGAGGTGCTAGGCAGGTATCTCTCCAAATTGCATTGGAGCCCTAATGACTTTGATACTACTGTTTTAAGTGATTCAAGTCATTGTGGTCCAGAAAAGCATAGAGTAGAAGTCAGAAGACAAAGTTCAACTTCATGTATAAGAAAAATTAGTTATTAAATGAGATGAGGTGTGGAAAGTGTTTGCCTGGGTGCCTGGCACATTGTATACATTCAATAAAATGGTAAAGTATGATGATGGAGGTGATGTCTACTTACCTAGACCACGAGGGTGTTACCCTGACTGTGCTTTACTTTTCACGTTGGTGAAATGGATCATGAGTGGCAGTTGCTCCTTACAGGACCATGATAAATGTTTATTGAAGGTGGTGTGAATTGTTCTCTGCCATACTTGCTAAGGGCTGATAGTCGGCAAATTTACTTTTTTAATGATTTTTTAGAGAGAGAGGAAGGGAGAGGGAGAGAGAAACATTGATGTGAGAGAGAAACACCCATCAGCTGCCTCCTGCATGCCCCCTACTGGGGATTGAGCGCACAACCCAGGCATGTGCCCTAACCGGAAATCCCACCATGGACCTTTTGGTGCATGGAACAACACTCAGACAACTGAGCCACACCTGAATTTGAAGTGCTCCAACATTTACTAGCTGTGTTACCTTGAGAAAGTACCTTAACTTCTCTAAACTTCAAGTTCCTCACTTCTCAAATAAGGACACTAATAGTACTAACTTTGTAGAGTTGTTATTGAGTTAGGAAAGTGTTAGCGATTGTTACTACCTAAGAAGTAGCACAAGATACAGTTAAACATGGTTACTAAGCAATGTGTGTCTAAGGTACAGAAATGTGGGTCTAAGGAGTGAGGTGTTAGGCAGGTACCTCTCCAAATTGCATTGGAGTCCTAATGACTTTGATACTACTATTTGTAAATGCTGTGGGCATTTCTCATTCATTGAATTAACATTTACTGAGATCCTCCCATGTATTAAGCCCTATGCTGGAGATGCTGCAATGACTAATATCACAGACATAGTCTCTGTTGTCACAGAGCCTAACTGGGAAGAAAATAAGAAGCAAGTTGTTAGAAAACAGTGTGATGAGCAAGCAGCACATGTTGGGGATGCTGGTGGAGGAGGCTGACCTGGAGTCAAGAAGTCCTATACTGAAACCTGAAAGATGAATACGATTCCATTAGCATGGAAAGACAGAGAGAAAAGTGCATGTGGGAAGCTCAGGAGATGAGAGAGTGAACAGTAGCTGAGTTAGAATGGGAGAAAGAGGGCAGACTTTTCTTTTCCTAAAGTGAGATTAGGAAGATAAGTAGGAGCCAGGTAGTTGTGAGCTTTGTAATAATTGTTAGTAGTTATAAAACACTATGTGTCATGCACTGTCCATTCATTCCATAAATATTTAGTAAGTCCTACTATGTACCAAGCATTGTTCTGGTGTTTGGATACATAGTACCAGTGAACATAAGACAGAAATCCTTGCCCTCATGGAGCTAACATTCTAGTGAGGAAAGACAGATAAGAATCAATAAACATAATAATTAAACTATATAATATATTAGAAGGTGGTAATTGCAATGAAAAAAAAAAACAACAACAAAAAAACCAGAAAGGAGATCTAGAACATAACAGGACTTGGAGGGCAAGTTATAGTTTTGTTTTTTAAATATGTCTTTATTGATTTCAGAGAGAGGAAGGGAGAAGAAGAGAGATAGAAACATCAATGATGAGAGAGTCATTGACCGGCTGCCCCCTGCATGCCCCATACTGGGAATCGAGCCCGCAACCCGGCCAGGTGCCCTGACCAGGAATCGAACCTCGATCTCCTGGATCAGAGGTCGATGCTCAACCCCTGAGCTACGCCAGCCGGGCGAGTTATAATTTTTAAAAGGGTAGTGAGAGTGAGTCTCATTGAGAAGAGAGATTTGCGCAAAGACCTGGAGGAGACAGAATTAGCTACGGGGATATCTGGGGGGAAGAGCATTCCAGTAAAGGAAATAGGAAGAACAAAAACCTTAAGACCACGGCATGCTTGGGGAGTCCCAGGAGCAGTAAGGATGACAGTGCAGCTGGAGTAGAATGAACAGAGCGTAAAGCAGATGAGGTTACAGGGTTGAGGGTAGGGACCAGATTTCACAGGATAGTGATATCTATTTTACAGATTTTGGCATGTAGTGCTTTTGAAATGGGTATCCAATGGAGGGCTTGAACAAAGGAGTGGCAGGATCCGATTTATCAATCTGCTGGGTTGAGAAGAGACTGTAGATGGGGTAGGGTGGAAGGAGACCAGTTAGAAGTGCACTGCAGTAATCTAGGGGAGTGACAGGGACTTGGGCCAGGGTGTGGCCATCGAGGTGGTGAGGAAGTTAGATTCTGTATATAGCCTGAAGGAGGAGCATGCTGGATTTCCTGATAAGATGGGATGTGGAAAGTGAGAACAAGAGAAAATAGAAGGACCACTGAGCCTGACCATCTGGCTCCATCAACTAAGATGAAAAGGACTATGAATGGAGAGGGTTTGAGGGGGAAAATGTCAAGAGTTCAGTTTTGGACATATTAAGTTTAATATATCTATAGCTCTATTGGCCATCCAAGTAGAAATGTTGAGAAGGCATCTGGATATATATATGAGTCTAGGGATCAGGAGAGAGGTCTGAGCTGAAGATGTCAATTGGGAGTTATCAGTAATATGGATATTTAAAGCCATGAGACCAGTTGAAATGATTAAGGGAGTGAGCATGGAGAGAGAAGAGGACCGGTGCCCAGGACACTCCAAATTTAAGAGTTCAAAGAGGAGAGGAAAATCCAGATCCATTTAATCCACCCAACTACCCTCAAATGAATTACTTAATGATCCCTTTTTATAGATGAGAAAACTGCAGTGAGTGCTTAAGTAACTTGCCAAAGGTCAAGTAAGTAGGTAAGTAGCTGAGCTGGAATTTAAGCACACAGGAAGACTGAAGCAGCCTGGCTCACAGTGCATACCTCCTGCCTCTCTCATAAGCCTGGGATCCCATTGAAGAAATGTTAAGTGAAAGTGTAAAAGATTTACATTTCAGAAAGACCATGCATGTGAGATGGATTGGAGAAGGCCAAGCTTTGAAACAGGGAGATCATTTCAACTATTGCTGTAATCCACATGAGAAATGCTAGTGACTGCCACCAGGATGGGGGATTGGAAAGATGTAGACAAATTCCAGAGGTGTTTTGGAGGTAGAACAATAGGGATTAGAGATTAATTGAAAGTGAGTGGTGAGGGAGAACGAGGAATCAAAGATTATGCATAGATTTCTGACTTGAATGTCAGAAATGTGTGAATGGAAGTGTCATTTGTTGAGATGGCAATCACTGGAAGAGAGGCACGGTGAGAGCAGGGAGAGACGGCATGAATTCAGTCATAGCAATACCCAGGGTCCTCTACAAGTCAACACTCAAATATTTGTTGAGTTGAATCTAACAACATAGAATTGGGGAGCTTGGTATAGTACATTCTCATGGTTTTAAGAAAGGCCACAAAATCATCAACAAATGGTAAATCTCTTTCATGCATAAAGTTCTCTAGGAAAAGATCTTCTAAATCTGCCACTAATAAACCATCCTAATGTTTAACAGCTCTCACTGCTGAGAGCTTTTTCTACCATGAAAAGCCAATCCCAGCTATCAGGGTCCCCTGTAATAATTATTTAATTGGGGTAGAGGTAGGTCTAAAACAAGAGGGGCCCTGCTCACTGAGGACGACATTTTAAAGGGCTCTGCAGCAGGACTCCAGCACACCTCTGTGGCTCTGACACTTCCTCCTCGGTCCATGCATGCTACCCTTGCGTCAGACCTCACTACTGGTCTTGCACTGAAGAAATGGAATGCCTGCTCTCCATGTCTTTGTCCTCACCGATCCTTCTACTTGGCATGCATTCTTCTCTTACTCATCCTATCTGTGGAATTCTCTCCAACCCTCAAGGCCTAGCCATATGTTCTCTCC